TAGATAGATAGATAGATAGATAGATAGATAGATAGATAGATAGATAGTATTCAGCTTTGTTCAGGTATTTTCCCACGTCATTATAGTTGTGCTTTTAAAGTTGTAGCAATGTTTCGGCGTTTGTAGCAACGTTTCAGACGAACTCAATACAGAAGCCTGATGATGGCAGATGAGATTCTGCTGAAATGTTGCTACAACTTTAAAAGCACAACTATAATGACGTGGGAAAATACCCAAACAAAGCTGAATACCATACATGTAAGTACCCGCGAAAACTTAAGAAAACAAATACATACATACTTACACACACACACACACACACACACACACACACACATATACATATATATATGTGTATATATATATATATATATATATGGATCTTTGGTTATTCGGGTTTTCTCCCGCGTAAGATTCAAAGTATCTAGGCAACGTTTCGGCGAGGTCCCACTCGCCATCTTCAGGCTGGTGCTTTCGGCTTAGTGCCAGTGCAAGCAGTGTGTGACCGGAGCTGCCATCTCTCTATATATACAAGTGGTGGGGGATGGTGTGCTGGGCTGGTTGGCTGTGCTGCAGCCTCTTGATTGGTTGATGGAGTTGATGTTGGTATAATGGGCTGTGTAATGGCCTTTTGTTGTAGAGATATCCTGGATCTTGTGCTGTCATCTCCTGGGTCGTTAGCCTCTTGTGTTTTAACGGCTTGGGTAATGGGTTGTGTGATGGGCTTGTGAGTTCTTTTGTTGTGGTATCCTGGGTCTTGCGTTGTAATCTCCTGGGTCGTTTGTGTTTTGATCTCTTTTCCATTAGCCTCCTGTGTAGTAACAGCTTGGGTAATGGGTTGTGTGATGACCTTGTGAGATTTATTGCTGTGGTATCCTTGGTCTTGTGCTGTGATATCCTGGGTCATTTGCTGTGTTGTGACTTCTTGAGTTCTTGAGGTGTAATTTCTTGAGTTTTCTGATGTGATGTCCTGAGCGGGTGGCTGTGATGTAGCATTTTGGGTTTTTAATATGGCTTTGAGTTTGGGGTCTGGGTCTGTGTTCGTTTGGCTTCGAGTTCGTGGTCGTGCCACATCTTCATGGTGGGGGTCAGTTCGCTTCATGTATGGTTCAGAGGAGTTTGAAGTGGGTAGTGATGCAGCTGCAGTGCGGCTTCTGGTCTGTGGTCGTGTCTCATCTTCTGTGTGGGTGTGAGTCTGATTTTTACGTGGAAGTGTGGTGGTGGCATCTTGTGTGGCCCTCATGGGTGTGGGTCTGGTGTCATTTATCATGTTGGGTACTCGTCTGTTCATGAGGGCGGGTT